TTTTCCACTTAGTTCAAAAGTAATTGGCCTGTGATCAGATGCCAGGGTAGGCACATATCAATTTAAAACACAAAGAATCACTAAGAGCGTGCCAATGTGTGCCTGGGGCGGGGTGGGGGGTAGGAAAGGAAATAGAAACAGGATGGAAATGAAAGACTTCAGAATTAAAATATTTTCCAGTACTTGCCATCTGGTTCTTCCACAAATGATTATTGCAAGAAGGGTACCAGACATGGTGTCATCTCTGGTGACATGAGTTGGACTTGCCTTTTGAGGAGAGGCAAAAATAGTTACTCCAGCCAATGTGGAAAGAACGTGAGGTTGAAGAGTCACAGGGACACATACCCTGGAACTTAAGAATGGATGTGTGAAACCTAAAAGTCTCTCCAAATTCCTTATCCATGGCAGATAAAGTGGCTCCTAGATACACTAATATGTAATGAAACAGTATGGCAGGAGCAGCTGTTAGAGCCTGACAGACCCCAGCCTGCTTCTGTGGCTGCTTAATCTGTGTCCCTTTGGGTAAGCAGCTTGACCCTCTTCAGACTGCAGGGTCAGTGACTCTGAGACACAGAATGTAATATATACCATTCTGGGTGTGGCTGAGAGGTGATGGAAATGGGAAATGGGCCGTTGGGATGGTCATTGTGCCATGGGTGGGAGAAAGGAGGCCCAAGAGAGAGCCCTTAGCCTCTGTATCATGTGAGATTAAAGTGAGAGACGCCTGTCAAGAATCTGCTAGCACCTTGTGATGGGGAAGTCCTGTGTATATGTCAATAAAGCACTGTTGGCCAATAGGGAAGCAAGATAGGTGGGACTAGGAGTTGAGGAGGACTCTGGGTAGGAGAAACACAGGGAGTCGTCATGTAGCCTGCCAGAGAAGTAAGATGTCCATCTGGTAAGAGAAATACTTAGATGGGATAAATACTTAAGTTAGAGCTAGCCAGTAAGAAACAAGCAAGGCCAACAGCTTCATAATTAATACAGCGTCTTGTGTGTGTTATTTGGGGACTACAACGTGGCAGAGCCCAGGTGGGGAAAAACCAAAGTGGCTGGCAAGGAAAAGGCTTCTCTCTACAACTTTGGTCATGAATTTTTTCATTTCCAGAAGCATGAGAGATAACCATTTTGTTGTTTATAAGGTACCCAAACTATGGTGTGTTGTTATAGAAGACTGTCATAGTTAGGACTTCTATTGCTGTGAAGAGACACCATGGCCACAGCAACTCTTGTAAGGAAAACATTTAATTGGGGTGGCTTGCTTACAGTTTCAGAGGTTCAATTCATTATTATGATGGGAAGCATGTGGTGTGCAGGCAGACATGGTGCTGGAGAGGAACCTGAATGTTCTACATCTTGCGGGCAACAGAAGCACACTCTGTGTCACACTGAATGAAGCTGGAGCCAAAGACCTCAAAGCCCACCCCACAGTGGCACACTTCCTCCAACAAGACCACACCTACTTCAACAAAGCCACCCCTCCAAACAGTGCCACTCCCTTCAGGGGTCATTTTCTTTCAAACCACCACTAAGTCCAAGGAAAGTAGCTACAAATCACCATCATTATCAGTTGCATCAATTCTACATCAGACTCACTTTGATCCTTGCAATGGGGAAAGAAGCTAACTGAGGTCCTGAAAGAGTATGGTACCCAGTAGATGGGATATCCTGGAGAACTCTGAAGTGCCCTTGGTAGGGTGTGAGTAAGAGTGCTCAGTGCTTATCCTTGCATTTCTGACCTCTGTTGTGGGATTTTCTTGTCCCGGCAGATCCCACAGCTGCTTCAGCCCCAAATAAAGACACAGATGCCATATAAATTATTAAACTGTTGACCAATGGTTAGGGGCTCTTAGTGACTAGCTCTGGCTTAATTATTAATCCATTTCTATTAATCTATGTATTTGCACGTGGTCTTATCTTACTGGAAAACGCCTGGTGTATCCTTTCTTCCCGGTCTCCACATGGTGACCGACTCTCTACCTACCTTTCCCAGAATTCTCCTCTGCTCTTAGTCCCGCCTATCCCTCCTGCCTCATTTGGTCACAGTGTTTTATTCATCAACTAATAGGAGAAACGCATATACAGAAGGGCATCCTCCACCAGACCTCCTGGTTTGGGTCTTTTATTCTGTTTCCACACTCCACACCCTTGCCTTCGATTCCTTCACCTGTTAACAGTCTTTTACCCTGCCCCAGCTCAGCTTTATCTCTCCTTTTGTCTTAATTCAAGAATTCCAATCATTTTCCAAATAAAACCCTTCTATCCTCATTGATGGGGAGCTCTCCAGACACTACCCCCTTTTGATCCTTCCATGTGAACACACAGCGAAGGCACAACCAAATTGGACTCAAGAATTCCAGAGAGCTCCACTGTAACGTCTAAGGACACCAACAGGAGACACTACCCCCTGCGGAAACAGATGAGAACTGGGTGACACAGTATCACTCCTTTTGAGTTGAAACTGAAGGAATATTTAGGAAACAAACCTAGAGAGTGTGAGGCCAGAGGAGGTAATACCTGTAGGGCAGTTGATTCTTCCTGGAGACACAGGAAGCACAGGCTGAACATACCGTTTAGATGATGTCTACTAGTCACAGAGGGGCAGAAAGAGATGTGCCTGCATGGAGAGACCAGTTTGGGCCCTCACAAACTATGTGGCTTGAAACAAATTACTCCCTATTCCCTGTCAATTTTTTTTTATTCCCTATAGGATGGCCAAGCTGCCTGCTTCAGAAAGCTGTGACAGGTTGATGTGAGGGAATAGAGTGCTCTGATACTCTTACACACTGCATCCTCCCTCTCTAGCCTTGTTAAGATTCTAGAATTTTCTTTTTCTCTCTAGAACTGTAGAGAAGAAACTATCACCATTAGCTGAGATGTGCTGCCATTTAAATTATATGTCATTTCTGTCTATACAGTATGGATCTTGACATGGTGGCAGGAAAATAAAAAGCTAGCAAAGAATCCTTTCAAAGCAGTGCAACCATGGACTTCATAGAAATTACAGAGAACAATTTAGTTTGAAATATTAATAATATTACTATATTATATAGTATACATAGAGGTGTCTGTGTGTGTGTGTGTGTGTGTGAGAGAGAGAGAGAGAGAGAGAGAGAGAGAGAGAGAGAGAGAGAGAGAGAGATAGGTACCTATGTCTGGGACTATATAATACTAAAACAACACATCACATTCAAGATTCTTATGCTTACAAATTACTTTTACACAGATTACCCCATTTGACCCGTAAAAGATAGATACTAATTTTGCTCTGTTAGAAATAAGTCCACTGAGGTTCAGAGATTTGCTGTGAGTCACACTTAATGGATGGTTACTCCAGTATTCAAGCCTATATCTCCTAATCCCTAATCCACTGCTGACTCTCACATGCCAAGTAGTTCCTCTGCTCCTAGAGTCTTACTTGTCAGACAGGAAGCATAAAACGATGCAAATGGCTACCTACTATGGGTATGTATGATCCACATATATGATGTTTTCATTGTTTTGCTGCATGAGCAAATTTCTTCAAGGCTTCAAATGTGTAGGGACATTCCAAGAGAAGTTAATAGTTATTGAGGGTTTATGAGCCATGTACTATTCACTTAACCCCTACGTAAACAGCAAATTCGTAAACAAGGTATTATTAGCTAGTCTTAGAGCTTCATCTATTATTAGCTAGTGTTTACAATTCCTTCCACTCAGGGAAATGTTTGCTACTAAGTATCATCTCTTTCTCTACACTTCTTGTATTCCAGCTCACCCAACCTAGAATTTCAATATCAGTCACCTCAGTAACAAGTTCACAAAAAAAAAAGGTCCTGGGCCCACCACTGCCACCATTTGGGTTTCATCAATCCTTCCTTTAACTAGAATGTTGGCCATTTGAACTTCTAACTGTAAAGAGATGAGATGTCTCATCTGATATCTCTTGAGCCTTGTCTGCTTGGGTTATGTGTAATACAAAGCTGTCAAGAGCCACCTTGTATCCTCTGCTTTACAGGTTTGTTTTGTATTGGATCAAACAACTGTATCTTAAGCACCTGAAGCAGTGTCTGACTTCTCTAGAAGCTAAAGCAAAATAGTAGATCCTTCTCACCTAAATCCCCCCCCCCTTTTATTGAAGGCATAGCTCCTCCCATTATGGGCAGCTCATCTCTCTCCAAACTACTGAATGATTATAATATCAAAGAAAGTTCTTTTGTAGGATAGTATGAATATAGCATACGTCTTGGCCTATCCTTAAACCTTGATGGAAAAAAATCTGAGATGGGGGAAAAAACACCTCTGAGATGATAGAAAAGTTCACATTAGAATTCCAACCAGCTATGCTGAGAATCTCCAAGGTTCTAATAAACCTGCCAGGATCAGCACTGCTTCCTCACCTGGTGGGAGGCAGGGGAGCAATCTGCAGGAAGCTTCCTAATGGTCCAGGCCGGGTGGTGGGGTACACAGACTCTAGTCACCTCTCCAGGTCCCTCCTCCCTGTCTCTTTAGCAACACTTCAAACTTTGACCTGGACGGTGAGACCACGAGAACCCCTGAGCTGAGGAGCCAGAGTCTTCAAAGAAGAGCTTCAGGAAAAGGTTTAGATTCTTTGCACTGTTAACACATATACAGACAAAGGAGACTGAAAGTCCGTTTTGAAGTTTGCAGGAGGTTTTGTAGGAGACCTCCATGAGAAACCATTAACTATTAGGAAGCATATTAAAGAACCTTTGATTCTGGATAAGTAGGCCATAAGGTACAGAGCAGACTCCCAGTCACAGGTATAGTTAGGAGAATTTAGGATTAAACATTAGAATGAACAGTAAAAAGTGAGGAAAGTGACTCCATTTGGACATACTCCCCCCCCACACACACACACACAGCTGTCCCTTGTAGACTATTCCCCACCAATCTGTTTGTTTTTGTGACTCTGAGCAGAGTCCAGTTCTCCAGCAAATACAGTCCTCCGGCCCGGAGACGGTCCCTGGGTGGTAAAGGTGTGTTATTCCCTTCCACAGGCTGCTGGTGAAACCGTGAAACCGTGGTGCTGAGTCATGTCTGCCTACAGCTGCTGAGGCTCTGAGGTCTAAAACCTGGGCAAGGACCAGCCCTGCTCCCTTGGAGGAAATGGCAGAGCAGCCTCAGCAACAGCACATGAAAACTTCCTTCCTCTTCATCCAGCTGCAGCCCCCCCCTACCCGAGCTACCCTGACTCTCCCCGCCCCTTCTCCAGCCACAGCAGCCTCAACAGCAGCCCCAGGGGGCCAGGAGGAGGGACACATTTTCCCAAGTCCCAGGACAGGCTTCTTGGCTTGCTGGGATCTCAGATGTACACAGGATTTAACTACTACTCCTTTGAGCCTGCTGCCCGCCGAAAGCCCTGGGACACAGAGACCAGCTGTTTTCAATTGCTGTTCACTGACGGAAAAGAAGGAAGAAACAGAAAAACTCCAGAATGTGGATGTAAGGAGGAGTGGTGTTTGCAGATCCCCACATAGGAGGAATTGCCTGGCCCTGGCCGCTAGGAAACTTGGCCAACCACAACGACTGCCATGCAGGCTTGCTAGCCCAACTCCTACGATGAATGATGGAAACAGCAGTCCTTCCATGGGTGGGAAGCACTGGCCAGTCATTTCTGTCCACGAGGATCTGTGGGGTATGGACCCCCAAGCCAGGAATGCCATCGAACTCTCAGGTACCCTGTCCTATGGTGCTGACAGGGATAAATGGGCAATCCAGAGGAGAGGGACTGCTACCCAAGAGGTACTTTGGAAGCATTGTGAAGAAGTAACAGGTACCACAGTACTGGCAACCAGGGCACAACTCTTCAGATACTGCCCAAGGATTCAAATCAGCCAGAGCTGCCCGGCCCCACCTGCTGCTGTGCCTCTCAAGGTAAGGAACTGAGTATACTGTGACCCTCTAGACTCCAGCCAATGCACAGCGGAGGGAACAGAGACAGGGCGCCAATGTACAGGTTCTGACCATGGGCCACCCTCTCCTGTAGGTGACCCACACCTCAGTAGCAGGGCTACCCACCAGCTGCAGTATTCCTCCGGCTCTTTCGCACTCTCTGCTACCTTCCCGCCGCTGCTAACATCCTGTCCTAAAGGACACAATGACTATAAGTTTCTCAAGATTCCTGCCAAGGAGAGGTTGAGTAAGGAAGGGTATGCTTTATAAGAGAAGGCCAGAGAGAAGCACAAGGAAGTCCACAGACGTGGGATGGGGCAGTAGCCAGCGTTATGCTAGTTTTGTTGCATCTATGAACTCTCATAACCATCCTGAGAAAGTGAGGCTTGTATTTCTGGTTTCCAAAAAGAGAATTAAGGTGTGGTTAAGACAAAATCCTTTCCCTCCTTTCAAAAAAGAAGAATGAAAGTAAAGCCAGTTTTCCTGGGTAGTGTTGAGGAAAACAGGGAGGGAGGCCTTCAGTGGGAGTGGCATTTTTCAGAACTGGAGCATAGCCTTGAAACACTTGTCTCCGTGAACACATGGTTTTAAGAGGCCACATTTACCTGTTGTCTCTGCTGGTCACCGAGTTGGTGAGAAGTCCTGGACATGAGCTGCTGACTCTATCGGGAAGGGGGAGGTGACCCCATGTAGTATGCACGGTTCCTTTGGGCTTTTCTAGACTCTTCTGATTGTAGCTGCGGTATCATGTATTAGCATCCTATTCTCTGCATCTCTGGACCAGCCTTCCCAACATGCTAGCTTCTGGAGGTCCACTCTCTCCATCCACTTTAGGTGTACCACTCTCAAGACAAAATTTAAGATAGTTGTTCAACATACCCTTCCCAGCAACATGGGTATGTTGTTACATTGCACATGTGGGTAATACCAGATGGGTAAAACTGAGTCTATATGTAAGAACTATTAGAGAGAGCTAGAAGAAAGGGGTGATGTATGGAGAAAGTTGACAGGAAGGAACTGCCAGGGAAGCTGCAGGAGAATGAGATGAAATCACAGCAGCCTTCTGAGGGCTTGAAGGTGATCTGCTTCACCTGCATCCGGTGCCTATCTCCCACATGTGTCTATACACCACCCCACCATCTCTTTGCTCTTTTACATAGAGGGCCTGCAGAGCCACAGTTAAGGATGAGTCCAAGTTCTCTCTGGAGAGAAGCAATGTGAGCCTATTTCCTTAAGAAATAGTTTACATTCCATCTAGTTTTTGTATTCCTCTTCCTGCAGGGATTTAGGAGGCATGACATTTGTGCATCTGAGCCCAAGCATATGCATGTAGGTCACACAGTAGTTATCTATGGACTTTGATGCTATTTGTCTCTGGTCTTCCCTCTGGTGTTTGGAACACAGACTGAAGGTTCAGACCTGTGCGTGGCCATTTCTCTGGGGAAAGCACTTTGGGAGTTGGCGCAAGAATGTGGATCTCAGCACTAAATGCTTTATTTTCGCTTCCTTAGTGAGTGGACTGTCCCCTTCCTTATGTGTGCCACCAAAACTAAAGGTTACAAAGTTCCTTGGGGGAAAATGGATGTCCTAAGTTTAAATCCTAACCACAAACAAGCCACCAGAACTGTGTGAGTTTCCTCGTCTTGAAAACATCAATAGTCCTTGCTTTGCAGTTGCTGTACACAGACATTTGTGTTCTCAGATACTAGTTGAAAGTGACTCTCAGTTCCTCTGTCTGCTGTTTTAAAATCTTGTGGTCCTAAGGATTGAACCAAAGGCCTTTCACATGCTGTACAAGTACTGTATCACTGAGTTATGTCCCTACCAATACATCTGTCTTGAGGGGGAGAAGAGGGGAATCAAGACCAATGTGATACTAAGGAGGACCAGAGAAGCCATGAAGTCTGAGGTGCAGCAGGGGACTTCCAGAATCTAGTCAGAGAATATAGCTACAGAAGCTTACCCTCAGCCATGCTGCCCAGAGGTAATTTTTCTGCCATAGGGAGACAGGAATTGTGAAACCCATTCCCTTGGATCTACAAATCTTTTAAATGCTTTACAAGTGTCAAGTCAGGTGATCCAGCCTCTTGCTGTAGTTTTTGTTTGTGTGTGTGTTTTTTGTTGTTGTTGTTGTTTTGAAAAAAACTCAGCAAAGATAGTTTTCCCATCTGCCCATCCTGGGTGGCTTGAAGTATCCATTCATACTCCCAGTTTGAAAGATTCTGGGAACTGCCCAGTATTTTCAAGTTTGAGAATTTACTTATATGGACCTAAAAAGGCTGATTAAAACATTTTCTTGTTCAATCAACTATGAAAGGTAAGACCCTTGATGGCTCACAGCGGGATCATACAATTGGTGTAGTAAAGAAAAATACTGTCAGTTACATTTAGAGTGAAATGTCCATTAGATGTAGTAAAGTCTACTCTCTCCTATGTGCATGTTGTGGAACTGAGGTCCTTGTGTCAACTTTCCCAGAAAAAAATCAATGTCAAGAATAAACCTTCTTGGAAGTAGTACAAATGGCCATATATATTTTCTTGGTGTTTAAGCCCCAGGCTTCAGAGTGAAAGCTATTGGCTTCCATGTTCTGTAAAGATGCAAGGAGGATGGATGGATGTAAGAAAGATGCAAGGAGGATGGGAGGATGTAGGAAGGATGGGAGGATGTAAAGATAGAAATAAAGATGTAAGGAGGATATAAGGGTGTAAGGAGGATGTAAATATGTAAGTACGCAAGGAGTGAGTGCAGTGACTCAAACCTCCTGGTTCTCCCTTTGCCGGATGACTGGGCATTAGTAAAGAGAATTTAGCTCTAGCTCTCTCACACAGTCTGTGACCAAGACATCTCACAAGTACTATTTTCTCTTCTATGGGGATGTATAGGCATCATTCCCAAATCCCGGATGTGAGGGGATATTTAAATATGGTCAGCAACTTGCTGGGACTGGAAGCTAAGACACTGTATCTAAGGGCTGACTGTCAAATCATCTACCGAGAGCCCAGGGCTCCCTCAAAGTTCTTTCATGACATCAACAGCTGGGGACGCTCCCTTAAAAGGTAACCTGATGTGTCCTGGAGCTTTTGGTTGACACTATACTGATTTCCATGGTGGGGAGAGTGGGTGAAGGAGAGAGGACCATCAGAGCTAACTCAGCCTTGTGTCACTCAGCACCGCCGGATTTCTAGGTGGGGAGGAGGTGGGGCTGTAGCTCACAGTGATGTCAGCCAGGTCTAGCTAGTCTGTCAGAGTAAATTAGAAAACTTCCAGAGTCTGGGCCAGAGCCTGCCCTCACCTTACCTTCTACTCCATGTTATGCTGCCCCTTGGTGGGAGCACAAGGAACTGTCTACCATAACCCCCAAGTTTGGGGCTAGAGATACCAAAAGAAGGGTAATGGGGAACCAAAAGTTCAATAGTAGTTTCTAGAATTTACAGATATGAAAAATTAAGTCTTCATAACTTACATGCTGTACATCTTAAGTATCAGTGACTATTTATATGTAAGCATATTAAAAAGTTAGCCCATAAATTTATTTCAAATACTGACCCCTAAAATACCATTTACAAACCTCACAAAATGTTCGTAGTTCAAATTTCTCAAAACCCAAACACTCTGGGTTTTTGTCTGTTGGTTTCTTTTTGTCTTTCTTCCCTTCCTCTCTCATGCTTGGAACTCAATTACAATCAGCTTTCTGAGTTTTCCTCACCAGCTCCTAGGAGTGTTCATGAGTTAGGAAACAGCATGTACATGAGCAAGACAGACATGGGCACAACAGAGGTTGTTTAATCAGCACATTCCATGATGGAAACAGAAGACTGGGATTTTCTGATAGTCAGACCATGTCATAGGAGTCTACAGGAAATAGTTCTAACTCTCTGTTTTGTATCATTTTTCCTTGGACCAAAACCAATGTTTCAACTTTAAATCTGTAAAGCACATTAGGTTTCTGGTAGAAAGTTTTTGTTTAGAGAAAAGCTTGTGTGTGCTGGGATTCAAGAGATAAGAAGAGGAAGAGGAAGAAGAAAAAAAAACCCTAAAATTTAAAAGCTCTGGTTCTGCCAATAAACTAGCCTGAAGCCTATGATGAGTCCTTGAGTGATGCTAGCTCATCTCCGGTGCTCTCAGAGGGCTTTCTAGTTCTGTGGTAACAATGAATCCATGATCTGGGAAAGAGAGAAAATGTTTTATGAGGTAAAGACCAACACAGTTTCACTGCATCTGTTATACATCACGCGTCCCTAAAGACGCATTACCTAGTTGGTTAACTCCATTGTGGAAAGTTCCCTACAAATGGGGCATGCATGACTTTCTTGGAAGCTCCAGTGTGGAACTGAGAGTTCAAAATCTGTCACCAATTCCCATCACAGAATGTTAAGCTCTGTGGTACCAGCTGTCGGATTTTACATAGATATTTCTGTTTCTGACCAGATCCTGGCTTGAATGAAATTCCCTTTGAAGACCAACCCCTGAGCCTTGGACTAGTTAACCCCCCAGGAAACTGTCATTTCCCTTCTCTGGGAAGGATTCCTTCCTTCCTCAAGCTTGTTTCACTTTTCTGGCCTGTCATACCTTTAGAAACTCTTCTACTCATGAAATGGTATCCTAGATAACTCTGTTTTAATCTACCTTAGTGATTAATGCTGAATTTTAAGAAAGGGTTTGAACAGAGAGAAAGCACACGCAAGTGCTCATATTGAAATTTTCACAGTGACAGAGCTAAATGTACAGTGGAGCATCCCGTTTGGGAGATCCTGATGCCTAGAAGACAGTGTTGATTGGATCGCGAGGTTTATTTTTGGTCTATTTCATGCTACATTGGTTTTGAAAAAGATGTCTTGATTTATTACTAGAATAAATGACGGTTGAGATAGTAGAATGGTTTTCAACTTAGTATCTCCATGACAACACACTCTCTTCCTCCCTTCCTTTGATTTTCACACAAAGTCCTGTGGGTGATGGTACAGATGCTACTGTTTGTAGG